AATAAAAGCTAAAAAAATAAAAATAAATTGAAAAATTAAAAAAAAATAAATAAATATTTTACTTTTCCTACATTAATAAGGGAAAGGGAAGGGGATAACTTTTGTGGCTGTACAGTGCTGGGCATAACATGTTCTATGTAATTTCTCACAATGACTCTCCAAAGTATGCACTACTATTCCCATTTTATAGATAAGGAAATAGCTAAGTAACTTTCCACTGGGTCACACACAGATACCAGATGGCAGAACTGGGACTCAGAACTTTATAACCAATAAAATATATATCAAATGTTCCTTGGGCATTTTATCCCTCACCAAAAATAAACCATTTATACTTTTAAATCACACCACCTCCAACCAGTTAACCAGAAAATTTCTCAACTCATCAGTAAGAACAGAGCAGTTGTACACTCAGGGTTGGGGGGTATGCAGAGTACCAGGGACAGAGGCAAGGAGCCACTCAAACCCAGCAGGTACTAATGCTGCTATTCCCCTCAAGCCCCTAAAAACTAACCACTACTCTACAAGTCACCAGATAAACTGCCCTCTGAGGTGGTCTAATATTAACCATGATCCTTACTTCCACTTGAGATGAATAATAGTCACCGGCTAAAACAGCAAGAAGAAAACTTAAGATCAGAAATGCATGAGCTATACCCTGAAAAAGTGTGTCAAGTCTTTTTAGCCTTGGGTTTTCTAAGATTAAATGCTGGGGCCAAAAACTTTGACTATCCCACTAGTAATTTAATTTGTCAGGCTTGTTTGGCTGACTTACACAAGGTATGATTAAATAATGCTAACTAGGGAGTGTTTCTGGTATGTCCTGAGAATCACAGTAACTTGAGGAAAATTTTCAAACAACAACTGTGGATTTGAAATGATTTACTGAAAACCACTTGAAGCTCTATGTAAAAGCAAAGACTGCTCAATCCAATTAAGAAAAAAAATTACCACTGGGAAAAATTATGAGACATTCATATATAAAAGCACTACCCAAAATTCAAGTTCCAAATTGACACTCTTACTCAAGACAATTTAGTATATAGTCACCACTAGTTAAAGCCTTAATCCTACAAAACTGTATTTCTAAAATATCAAATTAAAGGTTTTACTTCAATCTGTGGTACAGCTCCAAGAGAACCAGCACCAGAGAGGAAAAGACTGAAGAACTGAGGGAAGTATAACCTGTGTGTGTTTAAGAGACCATGGGGTGTAGCCAGGGCGGGGTAAACATGGAACCACTATGAAAGCTTTCTCATCAACTAGATGTCTCTTCCAGTGATTGTCTCCTACTTTTATGTTTTGTTTTTTTTTTAAGATTTTATTTATTTAATTTAACAGAGAGATACAGTGAGAGAGGGAACACAAGCAGGGGGAGTGGGAGAGGGAGAAGCAAGCTTCCCGATGCAGGGCTCGATCCCAGGACCCTGGGATCATGACCTGAGCCAAAGGCAGACACCCAACCAACTGAGTCACCCACTACTTTTATGTTTTAATTCAACTCTGGTAAACAGGGTAAGAGCTGAAAGGAGACAAGGACAGAAATGAGAAAGTTTCAAATAAAAACTAACTGGCAATATCCTCTTGTTTTGTTGCTGATAATCTGTTATGTCTATTTAGTAGGATCAAGTATAAACCACCTAATGCAATCCATTTTTCAATTTAATTCTATTTCAGCTCAAACATTTGCATGGCCAGAACCATTTTAGGTCCAGGAAAGAGAGATGAATGATACCATACACTGCTACGACTCTCAAGTTAGCAGAAGAAGAAAGCATAAACAATTGTAACAACATAATTTGGTAAGTGTTAAAATGAAGGCACTGCATAAAGTGTCATGGGAACACAGATGATAGGAAACCACCAGCCTACAGTTGTTTTTTAAAGAGAAAAAGCAGATGAGCAGTGTCTACAATAAACTACCTTGGTGCAGACTTATGCCAAAAATGGATTATCCTTAGGTCCTGGTCATTCTTCTCCTCAGTCTTCTTTAGTTTATAATGCCAGCAAACTTGAAAAGGGGATAGCAGAGAACAACAGAGTAAAACATCCCATTTTTAATATACAAATTAAGCCAAAAAGCATCCAAATGTAAATTAACAGCTATTTTATCCACAGGTTTCATTCTCTCTTCTCCCTTTGTATGTCTTGCCTTTTCATTCTCAATCAACAGGCTGACCCCAAAGCCCCTTCACATTTATGTTCCAGTTTAAACCTGATGAAGCTGAATTCAAACACAAACCCCCCAGAGGCTCTGCTACCAGAACTGGGCATACCAATTAGCCAAAGCAGATGTTAGTTGCAACTGGAAGCTTGTTGCCAAGAGACTTCTCAACCTCTACAGAAGCAACCGAGTTGAAGTTCACAAATATACACTGTGCAGAGGGAGTTAAGCAAGCCACTTCCATCTAAATCAAATTACTCTCCTGACAGCATACTAACTAGCTAGGTAATTCCTTACTTCAAAGGTAACACTGGATCCTACAATTTAATGCACCGAATCCCTCCACACCTGAGTTTCATTCTAAACATACCATCAGTCCATTCTTCCTCAGCAGCAGCCTCCCAAATGACCTATGCTAAGAGATTCTGACAAAGGATGATCACTGAATTATTTCCTGTTTGTTTTTAAGTCATTCCTTTTTAAATCTCCTAATATCTAGAATACTCCTACTCATCCTTCAAGATTACGTTCAACTGTCACCTCTGATGAAACCATTCAAACTCTCCCAATTAGAGAAAGTTTTTCCTTCTTTATCCTGATGCACTTTTCACACTTCTACTACACTGTTTTACACACTGCACTCTACTCCTGTTCTCTTTTCTGTCTCCACTTTCTACACTGTAAGCTCTAAACCATTATAAAAAAAAAAAACTTATATAAGGGGCACCTGGCTGGCTCAGTCAGAGGAGCATGCAACTCTTGATCTCGTGGTTGTGAGTTCAAGCCCCACGCTGGGTGTAGAGATTACTTACTTACATAAACAAACAAACTTTTTTCTTAAACTTTAAAAAAAATTGTACAAGACTGTTTCATTACAAACTCCTTCCTCTTTCTTTTTTACTGCTACTACCCACCATTCTCCCGGTTCCTTTTCCAACTCCAGCTCTCCTTTTCTTTACCATCCCCTTAACTGTACTTTTCACCAACTCAACAATCTTCCTTAAAATACAGAGAAGATGCAAGAAGAGCTTGCATTTTTGCTTCTTTTTGACATGTCATTTTTCACTTGAGTATTCCCACTCCAACAAATATAGTGGCTCCAAGCTGCCTATCAAAATAAAACTCGGGCGCCTGGGTGGCTCAGTTGGTTAAGCAACTGCCTTCAGCTCAGGTCATGATCCTGGAGTCCCGGGATCGAGTCCCACATCGGGCTCCCTGCTCAGCGGGGGGTCTGCTTCTCCCTCTGACCCTCTTCCCTCTCGTGCTCTCTGTCTCTCATTCTCTCTCTCTCAAATAAATAAATAAAATCTTTAAAAAAAAAAAAAACTCAAACGTTTGAATCCTTCAGCTGATTTACTATGACATAATGAAAAGACAATGGGGCTTTGCTGGAATCAAACTCAAGAGCAGAATCTCAATTTCACTAAAAGGTAAACTTCTGTCACCTTTAAAAAGCCTATCACCTGTAAAATCTGGTAATAATCACACCTCACATATGCATATGTTTAATGTGAGCATGAAAAGCAATACAAAGCAAGCAACTGACAAAGGGAATAATGGTAATCCCTCAATACCAAGAACAAAAATTCAGATTTGCTCTCTGTTGAAAGACAAATAGCTACAAATATCCCATATGGCAACAAATTAAAAGGTTTCAGACAAAAAACAAATTAGCCAGGACTATTCAGGCTATTCTAAACTTACAGGTAGCTGACTGGAATTCAAAACATTCTCCCACTGAAATAGTGTGGTGAGACATAGCTAGTAGCCATTAAAACCATGAAAAGAGAACAAATTACTGTAACCGCTATCTGTCTTCTTAAGATTAAAAGACACAAGAATAAGGAGGCATATTTTAGAAGATTTTCTAAAGAGGATATCAACAAACCTTCAAAGGTACTAGGTAAAAGCACACAGTGGTGGTTCTTTATGATCTCTTTTTACTTCTGGATTTGTGGTTTAATTTTTCCTTGATAGATGTAAATATCTCTACATCAAAACTATATCTAAGGTTTTCTCTTGGCATATAATGAAAATATAAGCAGCAGAGAAAGAGGAACAAGTGAGAAACAAAGTTTTTAGCCCCCTCGAGGTAAGTGGTAAAGCACTGGATTAAGATAAACAAGGGTTAGAGAAGCATGTGCAGAGCGTGGGAATAAAATCTGATACAGATTCAATAAATAGGCAATAAAGATGTATGTAAAGGGGGGGGAATGATCACAGCATGTGCCCCATTCTCTCCTAACCCATTCTTTCCATCTGCCTCAGAGAAGAAAAAATGATACTAAAAGAAATATGATACTTAAGAGTGGACATTAGCCACCTGGTAAAGAAAGCTGCGACAGGAAGTAGCAGTAGGCACACCATGAATGCTACAGGGAATGGGAACCGTAAGTCATGGGCAGCACTGATACTCCTGAACCGGAGTACTGCAGAGTGAAAAACTTAAAAGTAACAAGACACTCCCCCTACAGTACTGAAGGTAGCCCTGTCCACCGATATCAAGTATCAAAAACATTAAGTAGTACAGAGGGTTTACCTGTGACACTAACATTATAAAAATTAATAATGTGGAAATGAAAAGTTGATAAAGCAACTTGAATTAATTTTTCGAAGAAAAATACTGAAGGTGGAAGAGAGAGAGATGTATCAAGGGTAAAACCCATCTTAGCTAGATTTCCTTCTTTAAAAGCAATAACAAAGGAGGGGCACCTGGCGGGCTCAGTCAGAGAGCATGCGACTCGTGGTCTCGGGGTTGTGAGTTTGAGCCCCACTTTGGGTGTAGAGATTACTTAAAAATAAAAAAAATCTTTAATAAAAGCAAAGACACTGGAGCAGATGTTCTCTAACACTAGCAACACAACATGGCAAGTCTGACTCATGACTTCCTGAATGGGTCATCATCTTTACTGCAGGTTAGTCTGTAGCTCAGTCCTTGCGTGCTGTTTCCACTGCCTTTTTTCTTTTTCTGACCTCACAGCATATTACTCTTCACTGATTATAATTCCACTCCTAGCCTAAATAACTTTAAATTCAAAAGAGTCGTTTTTTAAAAATAACATTTCCATATTCCTAGAAGTTATACATCTGGTAACAGAATTTATCTCCTCAAATAAATCTTTGTCATTATCAATTTCAGGATGACAAAAATACAAATACTGAAGGAGAACATATATATCAAAGTCAAAAAAGAAAATAAGAAAGCACTTTTAACATCCTTTACCTGTTGAAGGTAGGGTAACACTGGTAGAAATGTTAAAAAGTACCAAAGTCTAATTGAACAAAAGCCTCAACTGCCTCCCTAAATACCCGTCAAAATATAGCTAGTATACTACTACTATGTGGAGCTAAAAATCTGTCTTCTAGATCATGATTGTAACCAGAAAAGAAATTTGCAGCAAGAAAGAATGTAAAATACTGAAGAATAGGACAAAAAGAGCATCACTTAAATAATTTAAGTAAAACATAGCTTGGTTGTTTTTTTTTTTCCTCCACTGCTTTTCAAAGGTCAGTTTCATGATTCATGACTTTAAAGAGCTTTTTGTATTTCACAAAACCAGCCTACATGTGTCTAGTAAATGAAGACTGGGGACACCTCGTTATTGTTAAAGAACATTAGAGGCAAAAATTTAATTATGAACTCCTGTAAAACCAGGCATACACCTAAATTGGTTAAAACCTAAACCCACCAGCAAACATCTGAAGAGTGGTCACTAAGCACTAGGGATGTAATATACAACAGGATGACTACAGTTAACACCGCTGTGTGATATATAGGAAAGTGGTTAAGAGAGTAGCTCCTGGGGCACCTGGGTGGCTCAGTCGGTTAAGCATCTGCCTTCGCTCAGGTCATGATCCCAGGGTCCTGGAATGGAGCGCCTTGTCAGGCTCCCTGCTCAGCGGGGAGTCTCCTTCTCCCTCTCCCTCTGCCGCTTCCCCTGCTTGTGCTCTCTCTCTGTGTCAAATAAATAAAATCTTTAAAAAAAAAAAAAAGAGAGAGAGAGTAGCTCCTAAAAATTCTCATCACAAGGAGAATTTTTTCTTTTCTTTTTATTGTATCTACAGGAGAAAATGGGTGTTAGCAGAACCAACTGTACTGATCTCATAATACACGTAAATCAAACCATCTAGCTGTATACCATAAACCTATACAGTGGTGTGTGTCAATTATTTCTCAATAAAACTAGAGGGAAAAAAAAGTCTTTAACTGGTCATTCTTCAACATACTGAGTGTTGTCCACATACATAAACAAAGGAGACTGCATTCCCCATGCCATGTGCTTGGGATAAACTGCTGACCAAAACAGACAAAGTTTTTTGCCTTCAATAAGCTAGTGACAAGGGTCCATAATCAACAAACTAATAAATATAGTACCACAAAATGTACTATGTGCTATGAAAGGTTTCCACTGGAAATTAACAGCTGACCTGTTAATTCAAAAGCAGGAACAACTGCGTATCAGATACGGCACACAATGTTATACAAGTGTTCAAAGTCCTAACCTTCTGCAGTCAATCTGGATCTTACTACTAAAAGAAAGATTCAGGGTAAATGACAACTGCATGTCCTTGAAAATGGCCAAACCTTACTAGTTAGCTCTGGCCCCCTTCCTGTTTAAGTAGGTCAGAACAGAGACAGCTATAGCAGAATTCAGATGTGCTTCAAAACAACCAATATATACAAGCAGGGTGAAAGGTTTAAGTCAAATGCCTCTGGAGTTCCAACCAAATTCACTACCTACATCAGTGATTCTCAACCTTTTTGATATCGGGATTCCTTTACCTCTTAAAAACTGGGAACGCCAAAAAGCTTTTGTTATGTGGGTTATACCTATCAATATCTACCA